GAACTCAATGAATTACTCAGGGTGGGAAACATGAAAAGATGGTCTAGGTTGAATATTTTTGGTGTTTGTTTTTTGCAATGTACTTTGAACAGGATAATGCATCACAGAGTTTGGGGTCATCTGGAAGTTGTTAGATGCAGCCACATCAGTTCTGACTCACAGCTAGCCCATGTAGAAACGAAACACTGGCCACTTGTGTGCCGTTCTCAAAATCTATGCTGTGCTTAAATTCATTGTCCCAGTCACAGTCTCAATCCATCTTCCTCTCTATGCTCAATCTTCTATTTCTGCAAGTATGATGCCCTTCTCCAGGGATGGCCCTTTTTGATAACATGCATAAAGGAAGGAGTCAGGTATAAATGACTGGAAAAAAAAACCAAGATTTTTTGGAAAAGAGGTGAAAATCACTTTTCAAAGCTTTAATTTTCTTCTTTTGTAAAATGAAAAAAGTAGGGCAATCCATTACTGTACTGTACAGCTCTAAATATTAACTGATCATATAATTCATTAAATTAGCAAAGACCTACATTCCCTTAAATTGTTATACCACCCCCATTGCTGATTTGCCTCCTACTTCTCTGCATGTGCTCTCTCACCTGGTGTGGATTTTTCCCAAGGTTTATGTTTTAGCCTTTCCTTCTCCACTGTGCCTAAGATCATCTGGTGGCATAGCTAACTGAAAGATTGCCAGTTTGAATCCACCCAAAGCCCTGAGGGAGAATGATGGGCAGTCTCTCTCCATGCAGAATTACTACCTCCGAAACCCTATGAAGAACTGCTGTAAGTTGGAAGTGGCTCAACTGCAGTGCATTTTTGGTTTAGATGTATGTGCCCAGGAGCCCAGACTGTGTAGTGCATTATGTGCTGGGCTGCTAACCACAAACAATTCTGCTGGAGAAAGACGAGCAAGTTTCTCCCTGTAAAGACTGATAGTCTTGGAGACAGCAGTGGCAGCAGCTCAAGAGGCCAGGCTCATGGTTGTGGCCTTGGTCTCAATCCCATTATGGTGACCCTCACTGAGCTGCTGGTGCTTCTGTGAGCATCAACACACACCAGAGGAGTGCTTCCAAGATGGGCCTCATCTTCAGGTGGCCAAGGGCAGCTTCCTGGACATAAGACATGGAGATCACAGAACCTGAAAATAGAGATCTATAAAGGAGATCAAGAGTCAAGTGGGACATACATATTTGCCACACACATGGATGGAATATACAAGTTTTTAGTAGTAGAATGCCCTCCATGACTCCATTGATATTGGGGAGGCACCTAAAGGACAAGACATGGAAACAGAAACTCACCAGAACAAGCTAGAAGAAATTACTTGATGAGCTAGCAGTGGTGATGACAGCAGTAAAGCATGAATAGGAGTACATGGACATTAAGGAGAGGCCACACAGCACAAACAATGACAAAACAGCAGAGTGATCTTCTGGTCCTTCTTTGAACTCTGGTTCTCTTTGCCATGACTTTGGGACAAATCTACCTGAAGAGATTTTTTGAAGTCTGGAGGGTTGTTTTAAAAAACCTTTTAATGTTGATCCTAAATTCATACATAACTGTTTTCCAAACCACCTTGTCACAACAATATCATGAGTTAATCCACGTATATTTTGTGAAATGAACCTTCACAGCTTCTACTTCTTGGTGACCTGAGGAAGACACCTTTTTAGGAAAATGGGCATCTGATTCACATCATTTCTTTGAATCCTGCCACCCTGATACAGGCCCTTCCAGTCCTAGAACGCAGACACTAGGAATGAAACATAGGAGACTAGTCCTTTTAATCTCTCCACTATTTTCATAATAAGCAGCAGTTTGTTCAGGAAATGGGCACAAAGCTTAACAGGACCTTACTAAGATGACCCCACTCTGGAACCCCATCCTGCAGTTGAAGTCAGGTAAGTTTCCTTTTGTTGATTTCGTAGAACAAATAACAGAATCTTGCTGAATTTTGTTCTTTCCAGGCCTGTGACTGTGCACTGTATCGTCAGGATGGGGAACTTTCATAGCTTCTTGATCTGATTTTTAATTTAAAGATTTGCCTAAACACATGCCAACTCCCTCTTCCTGAGTTTTTGCCATCAGCCTTAGGTTTTAATCACCTTCCACTGAAATTGATGGCAGGCACTCAACTCCTCTGGTTTGTACTTGACTTTTGTCAGTCTCTATTTCAGCAAACAGCTTTTTTTTTCTGTGTTGGCACGTCCACCTTCTCCTCTCTTACACAAAGAAAGTGTGCTCTAATAATTGGAAAAACTAGGATTTCTGATGCCAAAGGGTTAAAGCCACTCGGGTTTCTTGGATGATAAACAGCTACTGTTTTCAGTCAGTGGCATTTTGGGCAACTATTAATTATAGTACTGAACATTAGTGCCATTCTAGGGTTTGTGTTTTTGTTCCTCTGGGGTCTTTCATTTTAGGCACATGTGAATTTTGTTTTGTATAAAATGCAGTGGTTTCTCTTGTTCTGATAATGGGTTCAAAATTAAAGGCACATCTAGCTTTGGTGTGGGCTGATCCAGATTATGTTGTGACTGATGTCTATTAGTTAATTGTACTTTTTTAAAAAAATCATCTTTGTAAGGAGAAAACTACAAGTAACAAGTTTTATATAGTTATTTAAATTTGTTAAAGGTTTCATGTTCAGGATAAACAGTTTTTTCAACCTTGGGTGAAAATATTTGCAAGTTTTTATTGATAAGGGTGACCGTTTCATCTTGAGACAACTGTTGCATGCCAATTATTTTGTGAAAAATTTCAAAATTAGCTGATACAAATTTAAAATTGGTTGTGTGTCTAATATGCCCCAGGTTCAGGAAATAAACAATTACTTTTTTTAAAAAAAAGGTTTACCATCTTGGAAACCTGGAGGATCACCATGAGTTTGACTCAGATCCATGGCAATGGGTTCTGTTTGGTGTAATGCTACTGTAATTTAAAATCTCTACTACAAACTTCCTAACCCAAATGTTTTCTTGTTGTTTGTCATCAAGTCACAACCAACTCACAGTTGACCCCCCCAATAAGTTCTCATAGGATGTAAATCACATGGGAGAATGTGCAGCTTTCTCCCCTGGAGCAACTGGTGGATTCAAACTGCATGCTTATGGGGTGGCAAGTGGGGCTCCTTACCACTAGGCCACCAGAGGGCCCTAACACAGGTTTCTAGGAAAAGATAAATGATAAAAGTTTCACAAGGCAAAATCACAAACAATAAAAATGAAGTATGATTATTAGATTCTGGCAATTAAAATGTCATTGTGCATGTCATCACGGTTTTTGAGTTGGGAAGTAATGCCATTTTGGAAAATGACTCTGGCAATACTGTGCAAAAAAGAAAAAACTGGAGTCAGAAAGTATTAGCAATATGAGCGTGGTTGAAATAAGCTTTCAGTCCTTTGGATTTAAATGTCAACTTCCTGTTGTCTCATTTCAGTGTTCTAGATACTTCACAATGGCCCAAATTCTTAACCTGAGCCAAGATAAGAATTGTCCTTATCAGGATAAATATGCTCTTATCATATGTAGGATTGCAAGTGACTCAAGGGCACAAAACAACATCATCATAACCATATTTGCTGGCTCCTTTCAAGTGGCCTACTCACCTTCAGGAGCTCTGGCCCCAGAGTCAGTGGAGTTGTGCTGCAACTGCAGGGCAGCACCTCTCTGCCTGTCTAATCCATCAGTGGCTGCGAGGGAGAAAGACCAGCAATCTTCTCCCGTGAGACTTACAGGAAAAACGGCTGGAATATATCAGCTATGAGTTAGTTTCAGCTCAAGGGCAATGAGGGTTTGTTGTTTCCATTTTGTTTTTTTAAATTCATTAATAAGCTTTCACTGCTTCTATATATGCCCAGGGCATTTTCTGCTGATAAAACGTGATTGGGGGTGGCCTGTGTCCAAAAAAGCCAACTTCAGATTGACTCAAAGTGACCCTAGACAAGAGAACTGCCCCATAAGGTTTCCAAGGCTGTCTAAGCAAATTGCTTCATCCTTCTCCCCTGGAGTGATGGATTCCAACTGGACTTTCTGTTAACAGCAGTGTTATACCCACGGTGCCACCAAGACATGTCCATTATGTTGCTGTCAGGGGCTATCCTGTGGAGTACGACTCAGAGCGACCTTATGAACAGATAGATGAAGCCTATCCTTTCCTATGTCGTCATCATCGATCTCTGCTACACTTGAGCCCATTGCTGCAGTCACTGTGAGTCAATACGTCTTCCGCTTTCGCTGACCCTCCACTGTTCCAAGTATGATGTTCCTCTCCTAGGTATGGCCTCTGACAGTCTTTAAGTTAACAAAAGTTCTTAAACTCAGAGACTGATTCGGGCTCATTTTTATAACCTCTTCCTCGTCGCCTTCAGCCCCTTCCCTCACCTATTCACATTGCATCTCCCAAAGTTTACCTTTCAGAATGTATCTACAGAAATAAAGAAATTTGAGTAGTGGGGACTTGAGGCGTGACAGCAGCATTTGACTAGTCACTGTGAATAAAGCAGCTATTTTAATGTTCACAACCGTTTAGGAAGATACCCGATTTACAGCTCAATAAATTGAAGCTCTTTAATAGTAAGTCCGCCAGACGTTAAAGTACTAACGAACGGGAAGCCCTCACTCCAGAACGAGGAGGAGGAGTGGGTCCCCCGACCACCATCCCTCCCAGATAATCTGAAAACTGAGCCCAGAAGACCCGCCGGGAAATACCCCGCAGGAGTCAGCGTCACGAATTCGTGATTACCCAGGGTCCATGTAAACCCTTTTCTGTCCAGTTCTTGAAGCTAAGACAAGCTAACCAGTGCAGACACAAAATCAGACGATATGGGCCTACCACCCTGGGAAACGAGTCCAGGAGGGGACGGAATAAACAGCAGCATACGCAGAACGCTCGAAGCGGCGAAAACCAGAAGAGGACGTGCCACCCCAGCCGGACGTCTCTGATTGGCCGGCGGCTCAGCGTGGACCTCTGGGGCGTGTTGCGTCACATCCGGTGGCCCGCCATCTTGTTCCCAGGGGCAGTTGGCGGAAGAGATCGCGCTCCCCGGTCGCCGGCTCGCATTCTGCCGGGGGTTCTCGCGGCCAGCGTGTCGGTGTCTGCTCGTGGCCTGGGGTCCATTTTCTGGCCCCCCCACCCGTTGCCTCCCCCACCCGGCTGGGGCACAACTAGGCGGCCCCTTCCGACGGCGTTCCATGGAGTAGGGTCCCGGACCGTTGTCCCGAAGAGCGATATTGAGCTTGGTCCCCTCCCCCCTCCCTTCTCTTTCCCTCCTTCGGTCGCAACATGGCTAACAACAGCCCCGCGCTGACAGGCAACTCGCACCCTCAGCACCAGGCGGCCGCAGCCGCGGTCCAGCAGCAGCAACAGTGCGGCGGCGGCGGCGGCGCCACCAAGCCGGCCGTCTCGGGCAAGCAGGGCAATGTGCTGCCGCTGTGGGGCAACGAGAAGACCATGAACCTCAACCCCATGATCCTGACCAACATCCTGTCGTCGCCTTACTTCAAAGTACAGCTCTACGAGCTCAAGACCTACCACGAGGTGGTGGACGAGATCTACTTTAAGGTACGAACACCATCTGGCCTCTTGGAGGTGGAGAGTGAATTCGGACACGGGAGGGTGGAGGGACCGGGCGGAGACGATCACCTTCTCCCCTCCACAATCTGAGGATCAGTGACTAGACGGAAAGGTCGAGCTGATGCCGCGGCCCTGCTTAGGGAGGGGTCGTCTTGGGGCCGCCCTCCGGCTTCCTTTTTTTTCAGACTTTTCGGGTCGAGGGAGCCCGCCGCTATGGATGAGTCCTCGTCCCCAGCCTCCTGCGCGCCTCTCCAGGGGAGTTGAGCCAGGGGGGTGGGGGAGAGGAGAAGAGTAACGTGCCTTACCACTTTACAGCTTTAAAATGATTCATTCGGATGTGCATCTACTCGGTGCCAACTCGGTGGTGCTTCTGCCGACGCTGGGCCAGGGCATGTGGTGACTTCGGCGTTGGCCTCGTGGTGTTGGTACTCAGTAGCCGATCCAGATAGGGAAACGAATGGTCAGTGTATGTCGCCGATAGGTTGGGAGGGTTGCGGGTGGAGACTGGCCAATGCAAGTGATCTACAGAAGGCCTGGACATTTTCCCAGCAGGAAGTCAGGAGTAAGAGGTCTTACCCAGACCTGGGCGATGGGCTTTTATTTAGACTTCTCTGGGCCCTGGGCTTCTGCGGCAGGGTCGGTGCTGGCTTGGCTGTGCTGGGGAGCTCACCTGGCGCCTCCTCACTGCACTCTTGTCTCAGTTCTTGTTTCGTTAGCAGGATTGACTCAGTCTTGCAGCGAGGCTCGGAGCAGCCCAGGGTCGCAGGTAGAGGTATGCACTATTAATCATGCTCAATCGCCATAAATGCATTTCCCTGATTAAATGAACGGCTAACTAGCTATATCTATTAATTTCTTTTTGGCCATTGGTTTTGATCTTTTCCCCCTCACCAGCTAGGTAGGCTTTTCCCCACCTCTTTGCACTTTGTGTGTTTCAAAAAAAAATACCTTCCAGGCCTCTTAAAAGTTAATTTATACTTTAATACTAATGATAGATTTAGCAGTCTCTCAAGTATTTTTAGCTGAACATCTAAGATAATACAACTTGATATGTCTAAATTGACTCTCAAAGCACTTGGGAGAGACCACGTATTTTCTGTGATCTGGACATATTAGAAGTGTTAACCAAAAAACAAAAGAGTAAAAAAAAATATTTTTAAAAAGCTCCAGTATGGTTTTTATTTGCCTGTAGGTTATATATTATCCACCTTTTAAAAATTGAGTAACTAAATTGGAAATTATTGAGATTTTGTAGAAGCTTAAACTTGAGGAAAACGTTTCCGTTTTCTTTTTTAACCAACTTCCTTTTTAAAAAAAGTTAAAAAGATAAGACCCCTTTAGTCTCAATACAATATGATGAACAATATTTAACCCTTCGTTTTATCTAAGCATAAACTGTAAATAATTTATAATTGGATTCCTGTTCCTTTTTTTGCAGCTGACTCTTAAAACATGAGCAAATATTTATGCAAGAGGGGAAAAGCTTAACTTCAAGTTTAGATTAATTGTGTTTTGAAACTACTTGAGTTTTTACCAGAAATTGCTTTTTAATTTATAAAACTGAAGAACTAGGTTTGTTATCAAGACATTGAAAACAAATAATCATTGTACTGTTTGGACCTCTGTATTCTGAGTTTATATTGCATTCACCCCTTGCTTTGACTAACCTAACTTAGCAAATTGAAGAAAGAAAATGAAACTACAATAGAGGAATTTACTGAGCAAAAGAAAAGATTAGATTTTAAATGTATGCTCTTCTTTCTAAAGCCACTAAGAACTATAGAATGTAACCCTGAGTGGATAGACATACATTAGAAGTACATGCACCAAAAAAGGAGGATAGGGGGATATTTTTGCTTTTGTTTTTATTTCAGAAATAAAAATGGGTCTTTTCCTTCCAAAAGACTTCCATAGGTCATATCTGTTTTAGAGCTAGTATTCTTCCTCTTTGTTGATTTAGTGTAATGATTATTCACAGTTTATAGTCCAGGAAAATTTTACGTTGTTTATCATAATTACAAAAAACATATTCATTAGAGTAACAAGAATGATCTTTATAGACATGAGCCTTTGTAATTAATTGCATATTAATCAGGAATAAACATTACTGATCATGATGGAAAATGTACAATTTTTACTTTATAATGTAGATGTTTAAAAAGCATAATGATGAAATATTGTATTTATCTTTTTAAATTAATATTTTTTTGCTTAAAGTTGGAATCAAACTTTTTAAAATGGTTTTTTGAGCAACTTCTAGAAGATACAAAGTTGAAATGTAGTTAAACATTTTTTTCTGTGTTTGAGACTGGTATATTTAGTAGCACTTTGAAAATACTATGTAACCTTGCTTGAGTAAAATGGGCACCTAGAGGATGTGTATGTCATAAATAGCTACCTCTGGGTTAAATAGTAACATATTGTTTCTGTTGTATGTTTGGTTCACAGTTTCCATTGCTTGTTCATTCAATATTATGTGCAAAGACCAATGTAAGGAATTTGTGATACATTCTATTTTTTTGTATTTTATATTCTTAATAAAGTGAATTTTACTGCTAGCCTGACAAAAATTTCCTTGCACATATATATATATATCTATAGATATATATATATATATATATCTCCACAAAGCTGCCTTAGTGGAATTTCTTAGCAATGTGAAGTTGTTAAAATTTTGTTCAATCGTAATACCTTTACTGGTGCTCTTTAAAGAGTTTTTTTAAGCAGTTTTTCCAAGATGATTTTTGTACTTGATGTGAGTAATCAAAACTATAGACAAAATGCCAAAATAACCAACTTCCAAACTTTTGGAAGAGCTGCTCTGTTACATATTTGGGTTTACTTAATTCAGATGTCTAAAAAGTTCGGAGTATGAATGTTTGTTGTGGTCATGTTTTCTATTTGCAGGTCACTCATGTTGAACCATGGGAGAAAGGAAGTAGGAAAACAGCAGGCCAAACAGGGATGTGCGGAGGGGTAAGTAGAAGTACGTGCATTTTTCAGTTTTTAAACATCTTGCAACTAAAGTTTATATTTTGGAAACAAAGAGTCTTACCTGTTATTGATTATACTTTCAAATGGCAGTTGACATATCTTGGAATTTAAAGAGGCTAAACTTGTATGTCTAAGAAATGGGGTAATTTTTTGTGCCCTACTAGTTCTGTAATAAAAGTTATTGCTTACTAGTAATATATTTAACAGTATTAATGAACCATTATTAGCTATCTCTTAACATTTATTTTCTCTACAGGTTAGAGGCGTTGGGACAGGAGGAATTGTTTCTACGGCATTTTGCTTATTATACAAATTATTTACTCTAAAGTTAACTCGTAAGCAAGTGATGGGTCTTATCACACACACAGACTCTCCATATATTAGAGCCCTTGGATTTATGTATATAAGGTGAGAATGCATTTATGTTTCTTTCCAGTCAGTATTAACATTTCCCAAAAAAAACTCCCCACAAAACCCAACATAAACTTAATACCTTTTTGTAATTCTAGGTACACACAGCCCCCTACAGATCTGTGGGACTGGTTTGAATCTTTCCTTGATGATGAAGAGGTATGTCAACAAGGGTAATAATTCATTTTCTTTACTATTTGTATTTTTAATAGCTTTCAGAATTTGCTGTAACTAAATTTGTTTCAGACAAGTACTTCTAGAAAATATCTTTAAGACATTATAGGTTTTGTATATTTTAGGATTAATTTCTTGCAGGTATATTTTTTTGTTTGTACATTGTTTAAATTAGTTTGGCAATTATTGAAAAAATTGTCGTCCTAATTGTTCTTTGTATTATATTTATCCTGATCAGACAGACAGTAGTGAGTTTTTAAGGTGGATCCTGGTAAGATGGAGCCTAAGACACATGTACATAGACTACTAATTATAGCCTTTGTTTCTGGAACTTTTCAGTTCTTTACCCTCTAACTTCCAAATATCAATATCCCTACTTGCATAGAAGCACAGACTTGAAGAGCTGGGTGGGACTTTAAAATAGGCTGAGAGCTTAGATGACTTGTTCAAGGTGAGAAAAAGAAATAATATTTTCATTCCAGTTTTCTGACTCCAAATACACTATATATCTTTATAAAGCAAAAGGGGATTTTTTTTCCCCTCTTTATCTTAGTAATTCATAGTTTTTTGAAAACTTGAATAGCATATTATTCAGACTAAGCAGGGTTGCGCTTCATATGTTCAGAAAAGAAAATTACTTGGAAAAACCATACTGTGTTAGACTAAATCATTTATATATCCAAAATCTTAAAATTTAGGGCTACTGAAATCTAAGACTTTAATAATGAACTGTGTTTTGTCTTTGTATATTCTTATTCCGCACCACTGCTTCATATTTTCAAGGTTCACAAAGCAGACTTTCAGTGTACTTTGATTTAGTAGTCATGTTTTTTTAAATTCATCCAAAGAATCTATTGACCTATGTCATGCTTTTACTGTTTTACTTATCTAAACAAACATTTCAGTCATGTGATGTTAAGAATTGTACTTTTTTTCTTCTCTTTTTTGGCATATTTAGAGTTGTTCAATAATAAAAGAAGCAAAAAGTGTATTAGTGATAAAGTTTATCTTCTTGAGATCTTCAAACTGAACCACCTTTCCTTTTAAAAAGCATGCCCCTTTTCATAAGTGGTGGTACATTAGGTTTGTTTCTGAATGCTTCTATTTAATTGTTTTATATTGTGTTTACAAACCTAAGGTCCTCTATTTAAGCTAACTTATTGTTTTCTTCCTTAGATATCTGCAGCGCTTATATTTGGAAATACTGTATATCTGAACACTTAAATGTGTGTGAGTGCAAGCAGTTTTACCTATAGCTTTGTTTTCCTGTTTAGATAACAAATCTCACTTTCCTTGTGTGCTTGCACTATAGGTTTGGGACTGACAATAGCTGACTAACATGTCCTGAGCTGTGAGAGGGCATAGCAAGAAGGCCTTCATGCGGTAATGACCCTTTTCAGAGACAATGGTCATCATGGATTATGCGTTTCCAATTATTTGTTCATTTATTTATTTTCTACATAACTCTAAATTAGAAACCTCACTGCTTCATGGCAGTTGGTTTGCTATTGCTTCCAGTTTTAGTAGGGCTTCATTTTATATTTGAGCTATTAAAAGATTACCTTTAGACAGGTATTATCTGAAGCAATTCTTGTGTAGCTTTGGTTACAGTAGTAGGTATGATGTGTGCAAATGTCCACAGAAATAAAGAGTATATATGTGTGGAATGTAAATTTAAGTCAGTTATTCCATGTAGTTTAGTAATGGAAGAGATTTTTAAAACCCTTAGTTAACTGAGATTAGTTCCCTTTGTGCCCATGATGCCGCAGGATTTATTCTCACCTGCATGCACACACTAAGCCCAAGTATTTCTCTGTCATTCATTAATTATCAGATTAGAAAGGTACACAAATTGAAAATTTTATGTTACAGTTTTTTAATATTTGAGATTCCAAAGATGGTAATATTTTTATAGTATTTATGGATACCTTTGGAATATTTTTTTTGACGGCTAGGGTATCTTTTGTGTTTCTATAGGACCTAGATGTGAAGGCTGGTGGAGGCTGTGTAATGACCATTGGAGAGATGCTACGGTCTTTTCTCACAAAACTGGAGTGGTTTTCTACCTTGTTTCCAAGAATTCCAGTTCCAGTTCAGAAGAATATTGATCAACAGATTAAAACCCGGCCTAGAAAAATTAAGAAAGATGGGAAGGAAGGTGTTGAGGAAATTGACAGACATGCTGAACGCAGACGTTCAAGGTAAGGGAACTCGTGATTGTGTTTTTTTTAAAACATACTTCATGCAGAGTTAAATGAATAAGCACATTTTCCCCCTTTAATCTTTTTGTGTATGTATAAACTGATGACCTAATTGATACAAGTTAAAATTTTATAACATTTTATTTATTGACATTTTCTTGATAGGTCTCCAAGGAGGTCGTTGAGTCCACGGAGGTCCCCAAGAAGATCCAGAAGTAGAAGCCATCATCGGGAGGGCCATGGATCATCTAGTTTTGATCGAGAATTAGAAAGAGAGAAAGAACGCCAACGACTAGAGCGTGAAGCCAAAGAAAGGGAGAAAGAAAGACGAAGATCCAGAAGTATTGATCGGGGCTTGGACCGCAGGCGAAGCAGGAGTAGGGAGAGGCACAGAAGTCGCAGTCGGAGTCGTGACAGGAAAGGGGATAGAAGGGACAGGGACCGGGAAAGGGAGAAAGAAAATGAGAGGGGTAGAAGAAGAGATCGTGACTATGATAAGGAGCGAGGTAATGACCGAGAAAAGGAGAGGGAGCGGTCCAGAGACAGGTCCAAGGAACGGAGAAATAGGGGCGAGGGAGAAGAGAAGAAACATAAAGATGATAAAGATGACAGGCGCCATAGAGATGACAAAAAAGAGGCCAAGAAAGAGAAAAAACACAGTAGAAGTAGAAGCAGAGAGAGGAAACATAGAAGTAGGAGTAGAAGTCGCAATGCAGGAAAGCGAAGTCGGAGTAGAAGCAAAGATAAATCAAGTAAACATAAAAATGACAAAGAAAAGTCAAATAAACGAAGTAGAAGTGGCAGTCAAGGAAGAACTGACAGTATTGAAAAGTCAAAAAAACATAGCCCCAGCAAAGAAAAATCTAGAAAGCGTAGCAAAAGCAAAGAACGTTCCCACAAACGGGATCACGGTGATAGCAAGGACCAGTCAGATAAACAGGATCGTCGAAGGAGCCAAAGTATAGAACAAGAAAGCCAAGAGAAACCTAAAAAAGATGAGACTCTGTGACATTTTTGTAAAAGTGGATCACATTGAATCCTATAAATGTTTGATTAAATCTGCTTTTTTTCTCCCTCTCTGATTTGAGATTGTGCAGTAGTTACACACTCTTCAAGACTTTAGACTGCATTTTCATTTCCTCTTTTGTGTAGGGAAGTGCCTTTGTAATCCCATTTATTGCATTGATGTTCTCACCTAATATGTTGCGTTTGACACATGATGCACAATTATTCTTGCATTTCTTACTGTTTTGTTTTGAAATGTAAAGTCTGTATATACGTCAGAAAAATGTTTTAATTCCTTTGGCATGGTTGCCATGTTAAATTTGTATAAGGCAATAAACTGCCACTAATTATATTTTTGTTTTGTAGGTGTGGGATTATGGTTTGTGTACTGAATTTAGCATGGCTGTGCTTTTTGTAATAGGATGCTAAAGACTTTGAGAATGAATATTGATTATATATCATAGGAAAATTACTTTGTGCATTCAGTATGCACAAAGACAGCATTTGTAGGATTAACATTCTTGTCCACTGTATATTATCTTGGAAGGCTCTTGTTACTATGTTGTATTCTCACAGTTAACTTTTAGAGAATATGTATGAGAAATTACTTTCTGGTGCAGAGACTTCAATTAGGCTATGGTTTGATCAAAAGTCCTTTTAGCATTCTACCTCAAAGGGACACTGTTAGTATGCCTACAATTTATTCATTTAGTTTTCCTTTATTTGAAGCTACATGACATGTAATCTTCCCCCCCCCCTTTGAATTTTCCGATTTTAAATTGCTGTATTAAAGAACAAAGTTAATGTCTAAAGCCCAGCATTCTTGCAGCAACCCTGTACTAACTGAACTCTGAAGAGGGTGGGACAACCTCAAGCTTCCAAAGCATTTTTGTAAATGAAAAATACTTAAATTATGAAACAGCTTGATAACGTCCTTTTTTTTAAATTCAGAACTTTTTTATTGATAACGAAGACTGCTGTTTGCGTAAAAAAACTTTATCTAGAAGAGAAATATTAAAAGTAATGCTGTGCTGCATTATTTAAGACTATCAGCAAATTATTTCATAGATTGTTTTTCTGACTTGTATTCTGATTATAGAGAACCATCATGAGTGTGGAATAAATACTGGATTAAATCCTTTATCCTGGGTGTTGGCTTCCCCCCCCCGCCCCCCGCTGTTAACATTGTAAGGCATTTTCTATTGCAAAATGATGAAATGATAGCAGAGTAGCACCTGATATAGAGGGATGATGTCTCAGCTTCCCAGCGATGGTAAATTTTAAAGATAAACACGTAGACCAGAATTGAACATGTGGTAGTCAGTAATCCTTAATCTTAATGACAATACCTTTTAGTGTGGCACTAGGGTAATGCTTTCATTGTGTGATTAATTTGTTTCCCATCAAAGGTGATTATTGAATTTTATTTTTTTAAATAGAATAATACTCTTTAGACAAAGCATAGATAACCTAAAGTAGTTAGTTGTCAGTGCCAGGAATAAAATTGTGGAATGTCATTTAATGGGTATTAAGCTGTATTGACATTTGTTTTAAGAGTAGAATATAAAGTCACTTTGCCATGTGAGCATTAAGTTGACAATACTGTAGACATCAAGAGTTTGTTTTGTGGTTTTTCTGGTCAAGCAGGAAAAAAAATGGATGCTTTATTTTACATTGGATTTTTGGTATACTTACATTATGGTGCTATTTTAAGTATAGTTCTACTTGAGATGTTAAGAACTATTTTTTATGAATGTAAAAAGGATTTGAATTACTTAAAATAGAGGTAAAAGGACTATCCTTAAACTACATGAGATTTTAATGTTTGAAAGCTAATAGAGTAATGTATACTAGGAGGATCCATATGATTTTCTGTTCTCACTAAAATAATTTTACCTTTCTGTACCTTTGCATCTATTAAATTGGAGTTAAATTTTAGTATATCAAGTTCTAAATACAAAATGTCCTTTTTAATGCCGCGCAGTCTAGATTTCATTAGCTTAGTTTACTCTCATAGTTACTCAGTGCTATCTAAAGAGTAATAAAAGTACCTCGAAACATGTATGCCATTTACAGGAACTCCTAAGCTGTTCCAGTATCTTTTTTAATAGTTGGGATTAGGTGTATTTGAGAATGAATAGCACAGTAAACCAGAAATTTATATGAGTTCTTGAGGATATCCTTAAACTACTGCTTTTGACATAGGGATGGAGTTTGGCAGGAGTTGAATGGTAATTGCCTTTACCCCAGATATTCAAATTTGAATGTAATCTTAATTTAAGCACTGAGAACGGGTCCAGAAACTGGGATCTTTTCAAAACCTGGGGTTTTTTTTGTGTGTGGTACCTAACAAAAATTGCATTTTCATGTGTATTAATGCTGCCAACCCAAAGATACACAGTTTAAATCCAGGAGTTGCATCGAAAGGAATATGGACAGTCTCCCATGCAATAGAACACTACTGGCAACCTGGAGAGTCAACTATGAGTAGGTTCCAACTCATCACTCTTCTTGTCCTACCTACCCAGACACTGATTTTTGTTTCACATTCCAGTAGGCAGCTGTGATTAAGAAACACCAGTAAATTGGGTTTGGTTCTAATTTGTATCACCTTGTGAATGCAGAATTTATAAGCAAATATTAACCCAACTAATAGGACCACTGTAGTGGACTGATTTTACAAGGAGGGAATTTGTTTCCTAATCTATGAAATATGCCTTCCATCCTAACCTGAAGTCTCACAGCATTTGAAATACTGCTGAAATGACAGTTCATTTGTTACGGGAATAAGACTGCATACATACATTGAATTGAAGAGTGTTAGAACATAGTGAAATTAAAATTTCATTTCAGCACTGATAGCCATTTCTTTGCAATCCATAAAAGCTTATGCAAGTAAAACGTTTTCAGGTGGGAATTGTGTGTGCAAACTTGTGAAAATGAGTTACCATTGTTCGAATGAAGTAACTCACGTTAAAGCACTTTATATAGGCTTTGTCCAAAGGGTGGGAGTAGGCAGCTTATTGCAAGGAGACCTTAGAACTAATCTGCAAATGCCCACTGGCCACAATGAGGCCTTATTTCTCCAAGTTTTGAATCTCTACATTTAGTAATTTGGAAACCCTACTCCTTTCAAACCCTACTCTCTCAAGTAAACAAAAACCTTAAAAATTCTGATGCTTGCTGAACAAGTAAATGCTTTAAGAAATTTTGCCTTTTATCCATCTTGGAAATTCTGAGGTCAGTGCTTGGAATAGTCAATACTATCACTAAAGGAAATATTTCCAGTTTACTTTGTTGAGTACACAGCAAAACACCAATTTCTATGTTTTCAGTTTAATGACACTATTACTCAAGATGTACTACCATTAACTGGTTGTTTCTCCCTATTCACATAAATGCAGTGCTTTTTAAAGGCTCCTGTGGAGTTTTTCAAATTGCTATATGTCAATTTGATTCTACACATATACTTATTAAAATAGCATAATGCTTAAGGGAGAAATTTACTAGTTAAGCTAAATGGTTTAAGATGTCGGGTGGTTTGGGGCTTATTACGGCTTAAAGGTTAACTCAGCAATAGTTTAAGGCTTCAACATAAATGATTAGAAAGTACAATCCATAAAAATTTGAAAGTATGCATTTCCGCCCTTTAGATCAGAATTATTCCATAGTGACAGTTGGGCTTCAGTTTCCTGACAGGAGTCCAGATGAAATATCTTAAATGTTGCCTTCTTCCAGCAATTTCAGGTATTAGGTCATTAAATACCTTGCACAAGTTAGGTTCTTAAGTTCCAGAAAATCTTGTCATGCTGTACTTTATACAGAGATTACGGATGAGTGTACTTGGTAGCTATTTCTTCCAAATACACCTTTCATTAGTCTAATAATGAAGCTGCACCTCATAAACTTTTTTTTCTTGAACAGGAGAAATGTGGCACAATGTTAAGCTTTGTCACAAAATGCAGAAGGGGGGCTTCAGTGTTTCTGGTGCATTTGTTTCTGCAGTAGGTGGGCTTCTATATAGGACACTCAGTGGTGCTCATAACCCAGGCAATGTTGGTATCTTCCTAGAAAAGGGTGAGTGCTTGCAACAGGTTCACCTGTGCTCCACCATGTCAGCAGAGCTTGCAGTTGATGCCTCAGCAGACAACTTTCAGTAAACTTCAGCAACACCCACGCAGCTGATTTTCCAACAAGTCCCAGCAAAGCCCCAGTGGGTGGCTGGCTTGTTATTTTGTTGATACTCCCAGTGTTCCCTGGAATACAACTTTTTAGTAAATGCTGATGCCTTTGAATTAAGGTGTTGGCATGGCTGGCTCCTGACCCAGGACTACACATATGTTTGTACATATGTGCATATATATATGTGCTGTAAGTATAACTGTAGAAGAACCAACAGGGAGGAAAGCTATGTACATTTCTTAACCATAAGATACTCAGGGAGTGAGTCGGTGGGACTTCACAGTTACCATCTTGGGGAAAACAAGGTCAATTGGACTAAAGAGTCTACCGTATACAGTGGCTTATAACCTACTTGTTTGCAGTGACAGGGTCTTCAACTCCCTCAAGTGGCCATCTGTTGTTAAGTACTGTTGAGGCAGAACTATCCCCTCCAGCGAGTTTTCAGAGGCAGTAATCACACAGCAGATAGCTCATGTTACTCTGGCAAAGCAACTGGTGTATTTGAACGGTGTGCCTTTGGGTTCGTAGCACAGCTCCTTATCCAGTAGGCCACCAGAGCTCCCTAGTGGCCACCTAAGGTGTCTCTATTTGTCTCTCCCAGAGCAAAGAAAAATGGGGGGGGGGGGGTGGAAACAGGGGATGCACAAAGACAATTAGCTTAAAGTACCAACAGACCTCTAGAACCTCACCCTCCACCACCCTGAGCCTGTATCACATTAGGTTTTCTGCCACTCAGCAAAATCTAAACTAAAGAGTTACTATTTGGAAATCCAAATAACAAGATCTAAAATACTTGGTATTTTAGTGAAGCTTTGGATGCTGGGAAATGTGGCAGTTTACAAAGTATGCAATTCTCCTAATTATGAAGCAGCTTTTCTAATTCCATACCCTAGTCTTTATCTTTTATTTTCAGATCATGTTCTGATCTTTGTGTTACTGGCTAATCTTAAATTCCCAGTAACCTTTACATCCTATTTTGGCATCCACCAAGTTACATTAACTGGATCTCCTGTTATTAAAATCACTGTACTTCTGAACAGTGCTGCTTCCTTCAAAGTCCTCTCACAGCATTTGAGTCAGAAGCCACTCATAGCTGCTCATCTTTCTCCTGTGGAGCTGCTTGCTGGTGGGCTTCAACTGTCAGCGGGGCACCACCTGTGGCTTAGTATTGCCACTCCCGGCAAGGCCAGCAGAGCTCCCTCAGAACTTCTAGCTTTAAGAGCATATCAGCGAAAAAAAAAAAAAAGCATATCAGCAGATCATACCATCCATGATCCCTCAATTGTTAAAGCCATCTAGACCTCTAAGATACTTTCCTATATTTAAATAATGTGACAAATATTTGAATCAATGGCCTCTGTTTACTGTTGTTGTGTACCATCGAGTCAGAATTGACCCATAGTTGACCCTCCACTGGGTTTCCTGAGGCAGTTACTCTCATGCGAGGAGACTGCCCATCCATCCTTTTCCCATGGAGCAGCTGGTGGATTTGAACTACATGCCTTTGGGTTTGCCATGCCGTGTTTTACCACTACTAACAAGTTGGTGTTAACTCACAGCGGGCCTGTGTACAACATGATGCCTGTACTATCCTCACAATGAGCCCATTGTAGCCAATGTGTCAATCATATTAAAGATCTTCCTCTTTTTCCATTGTCCCTTTTCTTTACCATGACTACTTAAAGAGCCTTGTTTGTGTCCTTTTAGCAATTTTCCAGGACTCTGGTCTCTCAATTCCTTGACCTCCTGTTCTCTAGTATTTTTTTCTTCATCTGGCCTCAACCACCAGCTGCTATGGTTCCATCCTAAAACTGGTCATCACCAATAACTTTGCCAGAGTTTGCACTTCAAACATTCTGTTCTCTCCTTACCACTTCCTGCATTTCCTGCTTATTTCACCGGGTCCTTTATTATCTCAACTCCATGATGGATCTAATTGCATCTCACACAAAGTATGTGTCAAATTGGCTTCCCCTAGAATTGACACTCTGAATTTGGCCTTCTAACCTTCTAAGCTGTGAAAGACTGTTTCTTTTTGTTCGGCATCTCTTGTATTTCTGCTATATCATTAGACAACTAAGATAGTCTCCATTAGGGCTCCTTCAAATTTTCATTTTCTTGCCTACTTAGTTCTACAATCAATATTATAAAACCTTTATAAACGTCCTCAACTCCTTTGTTGGCAGAGTTGTCAGCATTTTTGTCTTATAATACTCCAATTATTGTTAAGTACCACT